CCTTGGAAGTGTGATTAAATGTGTATTGACTCTGCAGTTGGCCCACCAATGAATAACAATGTGCTGATTGGGTGATATGACATCTTCCAGCTCCAATACACATCTGGAGCGGGCCTGGTGCAGAAAACTTTCCAGAACAGCAAGAAATCATCCTGAGGAGATCTTATAGAGGATTAGGTACTGAAATTTAATTGTTTTAAAGTGGAAGATACACATCGAAACAGTTAAATTGGCAAAATAATCCAGTAGAGTAGTTTTGCAGAATACACAAAATTGTTAATGGTGTGTATTAGGGCTGTGCAATTAATTGGATTTTACACTAATCAAAATCCAATTGTTTGAAATTGTCAATGATCAGCTTTTAATCGAGAGGTCGACAGCTAACCCTCTGTCTCTAAAGACACTTTGGAGTTCAAATGGTCATTCGTGTCAATGTTTGTGAAGTTAAGATGGAGAAGGAGCCCATTCTCCAAGAGTAACTTTGTGCCTACAGTGAACAATACAGGACTACATTTATACCATATTCTATGCAACTGTACAACAAGTCACCCACATGTCACAGATACATAAATGTGCCAATGTCAAATTACCATTTTCATCTTTGCACTGTATTTGCATAAATTGTCTATAGATATATTTTATGTTTACCACATTTTAATTTGGTCAATATGTGAGCTTCTGGGTTCAAATAATTTCTCTTGAAAGAAAAAACGATTTTAAAAAATGAAACTGAATCAAATATCCATCTGATTCTTTCTTTGCCACATCCTTCAGCCCAGCGTACATTGAAACACCACAACGGAAATATAGAAATGGTGTACGTTGTAATGATTCAAAATATGAATTTGTTTCTATTAATTAACAACTAAAACACCATCTTCTTAAATTGTTTTGGAATTGTATTCGAGCAACAACAAATACAGCCTCACAAAGAAAATAATTAGATTAGAAGTACTAAGTAGTATTTGAAAATAAAATAAAATCGTCACTTTGCATCATCACATTCCCCACCAAGTGCTGCGTAGTTCTGTTCTGCTTTACTGTCATGCTGTCAGTAATGTTAAATGCATAACTGTATCTTTACAAAACATACTCCAAAAAAGCAATTATGAATATAAGTAGCAAGAAGAAGAAGTAGCATATTTTTAAAAAAGGAGTGAGAACTTTTTGCCTCAGCGTTATGTGATCTGTGCATCTCTGGGGATCTCTTGTGTCTCTCCCTGTGGTCCAATAGATAACCTGTCAACTTGTTTGATAAAAAGGCCAGCGGTCAACATGAGCCCTTTAGCATGACAAGGAGAAAGTATTGGATCTCTGAGGCCTTGGATACAGTCAACATGAGACATATCGGATGGCATTCCCAACCACATTCCAGTCAGAATCAAACGGTGCGTATTTGAGGATATCCTTAGAGCGTTTAGGGCTGTGTTTGCTGCCTGACCCACCGGGGCCAGTGCAATAACTGTGGACTCCCTCCCTCTGCAGGAACCACTCTCAGTTTTTATTTAGCCGCTTGTGTGCCTTCCCAGTCCAGTCGCTTTTCAGATTCATTTCCAGGTAAACACAGTGTGGCCAGCCACAAACCTGCAGCCAACAGGCGTTGTCACAGCTGTGGCAGATAATGGCGAGCCCAAAGTGCAGCCCGGCTCTGGAATGTTTACCGTCCCCACACAAGTGGGCAGCAAACAGTGTCTCTGCCCCTCTGTGAGAGGGCACTTTGGATTATTACTCAGATTCTGATGAATTACACGCTTATAACCCCTTTACCCTCTTCTGATAAGTACTCACCACAAAGTGTGCTGGTAGGACCCCTCTTTATTCAGTCGAATCTAAAATACAGGTTCAAAGACATACTTTTAGTCAATATATAAAAGAGTTGGCAAAAAGATATGCTTAATGACCTAATTCATTCAATTATTATTAATATATAATGTCAGTAGTTTTCAATAAAGGAACATATAATAAAACAATTACTGTCTAAGCATTTGTAATCTCAGAGGGGAATGATTATGACAGACATTTGTCTTATATCATGTACACAGCTCGTACTAGTATAGAGAAATATTAGTAATGGTGTACATGAATTTCTCATTGTATTACACAACTGTATGAGTGGACATTTTCAGATGAAATCTTGTTATAGTGAGGTTTTTACTCTTTGCCATACTTGAGGGCTTCAAACTGCTCCTTGCTTTATTGAAACAATTCACTGATGGTAAATTTAAGACAGCAGCCCTTCTGTGTTTGGGAATGTTCTGATTTTGAAATTCTCTTTAGACCTTGAATTGAATAAATTATGTTTTTACGGTCATTTGGACCATGGAGGTTAAAATGATGAACAATAAGGAATAAACTAAATATGTACAAATATAAAAAAATAACTATTTGCTAATAACTAATAACTGCTTTGAGTAACTATCTGACACTGGCCTTTCTCTGACAGTCTTAAGGATTTGGGAAGGACAATGGCTAATTGTTCCAGGTTTTATTGAATCCAATCTAAAATCTTAGTGTTAACACATTCTCGCCAACAACCCTTGGGTGTTTGAAGGAATGTTCCACCTCCAAAGCTCTACCCCCATAGGCTGCCCCATGCCCCTCTGGACAGCAGCAGAATCTGACGGGACCTGCAGCAGACCCACTCTGGGTTTTAGAAGGACCTTTTAGGGCCCTAACACATGTAGGTGTGAGACTTTCACCTTTTTATTCTCACTAATGTAACTTTTCACACTTTGGTTATTGTTCTTGTAATAGGTACTAAACGGATGACACCTGGATGTACCAAATGTCACACTAATTATTATGGAGCCTAATTAATCTGAGGTGATAAATGAGTTGTAAGGACGAATGCTACAATAGAGGTTTTCAAGAAAAATTTAAGAACATAGTCAGAATAAAGATATAATATTTTATATTTTTAAGAAAAAACGTCTAAACATGTTTTCCCAAAACACATTACAAAATATTACAAAATGGTTAATAATGCCAATAATTACAAATATTTATCCTCAAAAGTAAACATATTTTATAAATGTAGGGTATGCTTAAATGCCTGGAGTGCATTTGTTTTTGACTAAATCCAAAATGTGACCTTCAGCCAAGTGACAAAATGCTATCTGGTTAAATATTAATCACAGAATTAGCTACATATCTTTTTCAGAAACATAATGCTTGCTAGGTCATCGACCATTCCAATGTAACTTTAGGTAGGCCGGCTCAAATTTTAATAGAGCATTTACAGCAAACATTTTAATAAAAGCTATGAGAAAATATTTTCATTAATTATAAATCTGGATTGTACTTCCTGGGTTCTCTTTGTGGTCAGCACTAACTCACATCCGTGTATAATATTTGAGATGCTCACTGCGCTCGTCCTATTTTACCTCTTGATTTATTAAAGGCATATCCTCCACCATAGAATAAATATGTGGCGTATGAGTGCAAACACGTTCCTATTTGTTTTCATTGAATTATCATTATGCTAATGCTCTATCAACATAAGGCTGTAAAATGGACTTGACCGCGCAAAGGCGATGCGTAAAAAGCACAGATTTGACCATGTCCTACTCTCCGTGCAGTGCCAATACTCAGTCCTCAAATACACACAGTTTTTTTTTTCTCATGATCTCATTTCCAAGTTAAGCAGAGTCTGTTAGTCCCTCGTCAACAAGACAGGTTTACTCGCCTTTACTAATGGGGCTCAATGCGGATAGTTATGCTCTTGCGTAAATATGCGCTCAAATAGATGTACAACCAACGACACGTGGCCGACCGGACTACAGCCTCACCTTAATATTTGTGCCATACAAATATACAGTACGGCGGGAGAAACTGAGGCCTCGGGGCGAATCTGAAGTGGATAGCCTATCCACTACGAATGCTAAAAGAAAGATTAAATAGAGCTGTTGTTAAAGTTTGGATGAAAAAATGCTGTGTGTGAATAGATCTCATTTAGCCAGTCAGCAATATTTCATTACACACTAAAAGGACGCACGTGAAACCCATGTACAAACATATACAATGTCTGTTTTTAATTTGGCTATTCCCTGGGCCTATACATTGGACCTAAAGAAAATTATAAATAATTTGTTAAATGTTCTAATTACGCACAAACAATCAAAGTGAAACATACAGTATTATTGCATTTAGACTTTAATTGTAATAATAAAACAACAATATGGAGTATTAAAAAGCTTAATTAGAAATGACCGACAGAGGGCGTCGTAATGCTGCGTTGGCTGACTTATTGAACTCTAATCAAACAGTTTTCTACAAACCCACGCTCAAAACACCCCTTTTTTTTGTTTTGTTTTTTTGTTTTTGTTTTTTACAAATACTAGTTAAGTGGTCCACATAAATAAATTACACAAAAACTTTCCCCCAAAGAATAAGAATTACTCTAAGTATTTGTACTTTTACTAAATGAAGTAGTAATTAACAACTATTGAAAAAAAGAAAAGAAAAATTAAGCAAACCCAAGCACTCAATTCAGTGTAGATTGTTTACAAAAGTTTGGTTTAGGCTTTGATTAGCATATGTTTAATTTGTTTTTGTTTTTTTTACTTTTTAGTAATTTCAGATAACATAGGCTCGGCTATATGCTTAAATAAGCATGAACATGTAAAGAAGTTTATGTTTAGATGATCCATACACCTTTAGACTTTAACCTCTTGTGTTTCCTGTTCCGCGTTGCCATGCGTAAAAACGTTTCTCCAAACAACATGTAATCTCTAAAATGCGAAATGGTGAAATTCTGTATAAAAATTTGGTCAAAGTGAAATACACACTCTTGTAGGTTCTGCTTAGAAAAACGCTCCAGGGGCATCTCCGAGCAACCCTTATTTTCCTAAAGGTCTTTAAACACAAACAGATCCTACAATAAACGAACTTTCTAATGAAGCTTTTCATATGAAACTGTTCTTTTGATTGGCCGCAGGTGTACAATTGGGGACGTCAAGGGGTGGGGGTGTGGTGTAGAAGCTTGAGGAGTCTCACGCCTAGGTGCGAGGAGATTATTCAAATAGGGCCCAAGGCGTAGAAGTAGGGATTGGAGGCTTGTCTGGCGCACACTGCTATATCACAGCGCTAACAGGCAGCACGGAGCGTCATTTGAACAGCACTCAGTGACAGACGGAGCACGGCCATCACATGCGTCTGTCCTCCACTGAAGGGATACACCGCCGATACAAACCCAGTGGTCCCCAGTCTACGAGCACCTATTAGACCCGCACTTTTGGCTTTTTCCTCTGCTGGGAGACGCTTTGTGGAAGTCCTCCATGATGCTTGGAGCAGTTAAAATGGAAGGACACGAACACACCGACTGGAGCACCTACTACGGAGAGCCCGAGGTGGGTACCTTAAATATATATTTCTTTCCCTGTCTAAAGCCGATCCCATTTTATACAACTCAATATTAGCCCTGAGATAATATTAACTTTGTGATCAAATATTGACTTGAGGCGCCTCCAAATCCTCCCCCATCTCAACGCGAAGCTACGCAGCGCGCTCTCCTCACCAAAGTTGCGTGAAATACAGCTATGGGAACTTTGGACAGTGTGAAATGAGGCTAAAACTATTTAAAACATTTTACCTTACTTTTTAATGTATTCTTCCTCATTGGGAGAACATGAAGCAGTCTGGGTTAATAAAGATTTTGCTCGCGTTTTTGACAGATCGGCCGTAATAACACGGACACGCAGACTATAATTTTCGCAGAGATCAACAAATAATTTGTGCCTCTCTAAAACATAAGTTTCCATTAATGGTCGGTTTCTTTTTGAATTTGAAATTTTATTTAAACTGACAAAAGCTGGAACAATGACACATGTGTTATACTTCAATTAAAACGCTTTATTCACACTTAATTTAAGAGAAAAATAAAAGTAGTAGTGTTCTCTCAGTGTGCGCGCTCCTGAACTAACGGCTCTTTCTCATTGCAGTGTTACACCTCTGTGGGCAACATGAACACGGGCCTGGGCATGAACTCTATGAACACCTACATGAGCATGTCGGGCATGAGCAGCACTGCCAACATGGCGGCCAACTCCATGAACATGTCCTACGTCAATACTGGCATGAGTCCTTCCATGACGGGCATGTCACCGGGCACCGGGGCCATGAATGGTATGGGCGCGGGTATGACTGCGATGAGCGCGGCGCTGAGCCCGAGCATGAGCCCCATGACAGCGCAGCCCGCGTCTATGAACGCCATCAGCTCATACACCAACATGAACGCCATGAGCCCTCTTTACGGACAGAGCAACATCAACCGCTCCAGGGACCCCAAAACATACCGCAGGAGCTACACGCACGCCAAGCCGCCATACTCCTACATCTCCCTTATTACCATGGCCATCCAGCAGTCCCCGAGCAAGATGCTCACCCTAGCTGAGATCTACCAGTGGATCATGGACCTGTTCCCCTTTTACAGACAGAACCAACAGCGCTGGCAGAACTCCATCCGCCACTCGCTCTCCTTTAATGACTGTTTCCTCAAAGTGCCCCGCTCCCCGGACAAGCCCGGGAAGGGCTCCTTCTGGACTCTGCACCCAGATTCAGGAAACATGTTTGAAAACGGCTGCTACCTGCGGAGACAGAAGCGATTCAAGTGTGAGAAGAAACTATCCATGAAGGATTCTCGGAAATCAGGAGACGGCTCCCACAGCAGTTCTGAGAGTTGCAATGGCAACGAGTCCCCTCACTCCAACTCGTCCTCCGGGGAGCATAAGAGGGCCCTGGCGGACATGAAGAGCGGCCAGGCCCTGAGCCCGGAGCACGCCGCGGCCGCATCCCCCGTGTCCCAGAGCCAGCAGCACCTCATGTCACAGCATCACTCAGTGCTCGCGCACGACGGCCACCTCAAACCCGAGCATCACTACTCGTTCAACCACCCGTTTTCCATCAACAACCTCATGTCGGAGCAGCAGCATCACCACAAAATGGACCTTAAAACTTACGAACAGGTCATGCACTATTCAGGCTACGGCTCCCCCATGGCAGGCGCGCTCTCCATGGGCTCGATGGCGGGGAAGACCGGTCTAGATTCCACCTCTATTCCGGACACTACATATTACCAAGGCGTGTATTCTAGGCCCATCATGAACTCCTCATAATACACACGGACTCATCTCTTCTATTTGTACATTTGTAAAAATCTATAGAATTTGTGTACAATATGTATTTGAAATATTTTCCCACCGGTTTAGCTGTCCAGTTTGTTTTGTAGTCTGATTATTTTAATGCTGATAATAATTCAAGTGATGTGAACAGATCTGTTCAAGAAAGGACCCAAAGACATAAAACAAACCGAAATACAAAGACGAGCGTGCTGTACATTTGCATTCATGCACTCACACAACCGGAGTTTGGTTTCAACGTTACGCTCAATCATTTGTGTAATTCTATTTATGGCTTGTATATGTGTATTCTTGTAGTGACAAGAAAGGAATCTATATTAAAGTGTTATTCTTTTGTTTCTCGAACAATCACTGCCTCTGACCATTATTATTATTATTATTATTATTATTATTATTATTATTATTATTATTATTATTATTAAACAGATTACACGCCAAAGTGAATCTACTATGATCAGGAGCCTAAACACTTGAAGCGCGTGCACAATTTATTTTCATACAGTCACATCTCTTACAGAAGCGACGCTTTTGTTTCGAATAGAAGGGATTAATAGATTTGCTGGTCAACATGAGCACAAAGATCTCCATTTGTCATGCAGAAAAAGTAAACAAAACAAACATATGCTTAATAATCCCAAACACAAACTAGAAGAACTCAAAGGGAATAAACGATTAACGTGCAAAAGTGTAAGACACAAAACGCGAATCTTGTTTAAAATATTACAGCTGTTTTTTGTAACATATTTTTGATCAAAACTAGACACTGTTGATATTTTTTGTCAGTGCGTAAAGGTGAAACGTAAAAGGATTTTCAATCATTCAAATTCCCACAGTCAGTTGTGTTTTGGTTCCTACTGTCACTCTGACTTCTGTGTGACAAGCTGCCACTCATCCCCATTACACACACCTCACAGTTTAGATGAGTGAACAAGATTAAGTGTCTTTGTCACATAAACCAGCATCCCGCGGCGCAGGAGAATGGCCGCTGGAAAAGGAGGCTGATTTGGGAACAGAGACGCGCTTTAAATTCTCTCCCCACAATCTGGGCCCCCATTGTCCTGCGTCTATTTGAAAGCAGTCGGAACCTCCCCTCTCGTTAGATAAGATATAGGTTAGTAGTTGTAGTTGTTGTAGGACAGGACCCCAAGCGCTCTTCTCCTGTGTCCGGCTAACAGCTCAAATCCAAGGCCATTCTGAGGCAGACACCTGCACGCAGGTCCTTCTCCTTCTGAACGCAACTAGGGTCTAAAAGTGCGTTTATAAGCCAGGCCCTCTTTACAGATCACAATTTAAACATCATGATCTGCGAATAAACAAGGCGAATAAACAATAGAGTCGAGGCTATGCCCACATATAGGAAAAGTACACACACCAACCAAATTGCACAAGTGTAAACTTTGAATAGGACGCTGTAGCTCTCTGTAAATTTACACAGACATTAAATTTGGTTCTATTCATTTTAGACATATAATGCTAAGCTGATTTTTTTATAGCACACTGATCGATATCTCGGTAAAATAATCATTTTTTTAACTAGCGGGGCAGTGAAATCTTTGCTTTGTGCTAAAGTCAACAGTGACAGAGTTTGAGCTCAAATAAATGCCGTGATGTCTGGAGCCCTTTGCAGAAGGCACAAGGCGAGCTTCTACAATGGGTTCCTGTGTGGCTTGCCAACAACCAGTCAAGCACCGGCTGTTTTTGCGCAGGTACGAAGCTTTTACTTCTCTTTTTAAAATCGTCTATGGGATGTAGATATTGCTTTGGTGGTGGCCTTTTCCCGGACCAGGAGCGCAGAAGGAGGGGTAAGGAGGCTCATATCCTAAATTCATGAGAAAGGATTGAATCTTGAGATAGGGTGGTGCAAAGCTGAGGCATCTGGGGCTTGTGTGATCCAGGGGCTTGCCTCATGTTTCTTGCTGTTGTGACAGAGAGTGATGTACTGCGCGGGAAAAGCAGTGAGCGACGCGTAATTTGCATCGGTAAAACATCGTATAACTGGAAGTCTTCATTTTACGCACGAATCAAACGTCCGGGTACAAACACAATTCGGGTTGAATTTGACGGGGAAAAAAAATGTATTGGTTCTGAGTGTTTTTTAATTCATATCTGATCTGCTGCTTTGTACTGGTGTGTATTTTGTAGAACAAATATCAAGCGTTTATTGTAACACTCGTATTATTATAAGGCCTATTATTATGAATGGTTATTAATACTCACGGATTATTATTATTATTATTATTATTGATTAATAATAATAATAATAATGATGATAATAATAATAATAATAATAATAATAATAATAATAATAATAATAATAATAATAATAATAATAATAATAATAATAATAATAACGTGTAAGTGTTGATTGGTCAGTGCATGATGTGGATGCAGGGACAGCCTCCAGCAGACACACGGAAATGGGACTGGCCTTTCGGTGTTACTGGTTCAAAGGTACCCAACCTCAATCAGCTCTAAAGCCTAGGGGTGCACGTGCCCAGGACCACCTCCCCGCACACAGCTCCTTTTTTTCATGGGTCCATCTTTCAGACGCGGAACTTTGGCTCCTGGCACACCATCACAGATAGGCACATTTGTTGTTATAGCAACAGGATAAAGGATAGCCCTGAAGCCTGTTGAGCCTTTTACTGCTCTAACGTGATTTCTTTGCATGTTCTCGGTCACATTTGCATATTACTTTCTCATGCTCCGCAACAAGTAGGGTTACTTTTTACGCATTGTCTATTATATGTGTTGAGGCCATATCAACATATGCAGTTGCAGCTTACCCGTTTACATGGCACGCCTGTTAACTGTTTCCTCTTTCTTATCATGCCTCGTTATGAATGGAGGCAGATGTCTCAAGGCAATGGATTTTAAAGCTGAGGCAAATTTGGGCCTCTATTTTCACCGAATGAGTCAGTCTACGGCGCGGTGCCACCCATGGGTGTCAACAGTTGTAGACCTGTAAAGATACCGTGTTTTTATCAGGCCACTGGACTTTTACGAGAAACATAAAAGCGCAGATATCCCGGGTTGTTTTACGAGAACAAAATTAAATGCAGGCTCTGGTCCCCAGACAAGCCTGGTGTTACTTCTGGTTTCATTATGTCCAAAGTTGTGCATCATATTATGCCATGCAAGAGCAGTGTATTGGCTCATTGTCTGCCGCACCTATAGCAGCGTGCTGCAGCCCGCGCACCAGAACACCCAAGTAGATCTGTCTCCATGGAGACGGCGGGACACCGGTCCAACAAGCTGTAATTCTGTCTCAGCCTATTGCAGGGGAGGGCCCGTTCACGATAGCGGGACTTAACTCCTCTTTGAGCAGAAACACGGCTAATCCAGCCTGTGAGCGGCCCAAGTGCCGGCCCTTACTATATTAAAGCCCCGCAGAGTCAGAGCCCTACAGCCACCCATTGGCAGCTCAGCGGGCGGCCTGTGCGCCGTGGCACCGCGATACGCGTGCGTGCGCCACATATGTGGATTCGTTTTCAAAGCTTTTCTCTGGACATTTCACTGAACAAAGCCGTATCACTTTCCCCTCTTACCAAATATTTTGAAGGGCAATCTTAAATGGCTAATGAATAGACTAAATAGGCCTAAGAAAAATACGTACACAAGCTCTATAAAACATAAGCAAAATGCACAATATAAAATAATAATTTAAAAAGGAAAATATAGAATTATGGTTTAATAATTGGTAGGTTTTACTCCTAAGAAGCAAATATATATATACATATATATATATATATATATATATATATATATATATATATATATATATATATATATATATATATATATATATATATATATTAAACGCTTAGTTTTTTGTTGTTATTTCAAATTAGATTTAGCAATAAAAAAAAAAACATTATTCATTGTATTATTTTGAAGAAAATTATAGCTCATTGCAAACATGAGCACCATTTAATAATTACTATAAAATCAATTTTCCTATGGTGCTCTAATGACCTTTTTTGTACAAAATGTGTAGTTCCAGAAGAAATCCCATAAGCTGGAGGTATTTGGTGTGATTCCTGTTGAGCGTATGGAAAAAGCAGGGCAGAGGCGGGCGGTGAGCGGGTGAGAATGCGGCCTCAGACTGTGATGTGTCCGGGCTCCTCTCACACCACTCTGTGACATTCCTGTGTGGGACTCCATCATGTCCACTCACACACACACTCACACAGCTCCGTCAACAATGCCCATTGACTAGTGCACGGCGGCGGCGGCAGCTGGTGCAGGGACGCACTGACCTAAAGAGCACCATTCAGCCCCTCTCTACCCCTCTGCTGCTGTCTCTGCAGCTTTTATGTGTCTGGAAGTGGATGGATGGTCAGTGTTTGTCCTGCTGGAACACTGCACCTCGGCCCCTCACCAAACCCAGGCAATCACAAGAAGGGCCGTCCTGGAAATCTGTGGAGATAATGTAAATATGTGGGAAAAAAGAGAACTTTCCATCCACTTTCAGAGAAATGTGATAAAATATAGATGAATGGCTCAGAGGAGGGAGGCTCAGGCACACAGGGGAGATAAGCTGCTCAAGGAGAAATCTAAGCTTTCATGCAGGTAATAAGCGGGTGTCCAATCACGCAGAAAGATACTATATTGCTGCGAGATTAGAAGATGCTCAAAATATGAAGTTTGGAATCACTACCAGAAAATTGATTATATTTGCTTTTACAGGCATTTCCCTATGGCACTCTGAGATCTTCTGGAAGAAAAGGTTGCCATAAAATGATATGTCAGTTAGATGTCTGCTTTGCTATAATCGATTTGCTAAGATTCCTTTATTCCCCTGGAGAATATGGTCCATTTCTTTGATTTGTCTTCCTATAAATAGAGGTCTCATGGTTCAGTATGGCAAAAGGTGTACAGAATATGAACGATAAAGGGAGCAGTAGTTGATACATGAAAAAGAAATAAAAAAAGAGTAAGTAAATTAATCAGAACATAAAATAAATAAAGCAATGTTGAAGTCAAAATGGTTAGCTGAAGCGTTATCTATTTAATTAGTTTTTTTTATTTTTATTATGGGGCTTAGAGTCAAATTCAAAAACAGTAATTTGCATCAGCGCAAGAAAAGCATATTTTTCTTGGGTCTACATTGAGTTCTCTCACATTTCCACAATAAAAATAATACTTCTACTAGCTCCTCATTGCTTCACACCTACTTGAAGCATTGGCACAATACAGCAGATCAACACAATAAGTTTTTCCCATTTAGCAACACAAGGCCGGTGTATGAAAGACAGCATGCTGCAACATCTCCCCAGTGCTCC